CCTCCCGCCTCTCCTTTCCTCCGCCCTCCTCCTCCTCCTGCCCTTGCTCCCCTCCCCTTCCTCCTCCTCCTCCTCCTCTCCCTCTGCACATCTCCCTTATTGCTCCTCCTCCTGCTCCACCCTCGGCTCCTCACCCTCCTGTCCCAGGCGTTCCTGCAGGAGGGGTACATGTTCCTCTTCAAACTCTCCGTGTCCATCGTGGAGGCAATCAAGGCACAGATACTGGCAACGAAACAGAGCGAGGTCGGTGCTAGTCTCGTACGATGCGTCCTCTGACGTGACGTACAGGTCAACAAACTTTTCGAGCTCATGAGGCTCGACGAGAAGGTCTTTCCCGATGACAACATGGACTTCTTCAAGTCCATCCTGCAAGCTGCCAAGGTCCCATCATCCCCCTCCTCCCTATCCCACTTCTCAGCCTCTCGTCCTCTCATTTTCTCCCTCTTCTCTGCCTCTTTCCCCTGCCCCCTGTCCCTGTCCCTCACCCTTCCCCTCGCACTCCCCATCTCTCTTCCTCCTCTTCCCCCTCCCCACATATCTCCCTCTTCTTCCTCCTCCTCCACCGCCACCACCGCTCACTCTTCCTTCCTACTTCCCTGCTCTAGATGTTCTTCTCTCTTCACCTCTTGACCTGTCACCCTCCCTGATTTTCTTCTCCAGGATTGCGATCTCAAGTCCTCCGACATCGATGCCATGCGCGCAACACAGATGAAGATCCTCCAGGAGAAGCTGGAGAAGGTGAAAGACCTCCAACCTTCCTCCCCTCCTGCCTCTCCTCCCTCCCTCCTTCCACCTTTGCTCCCGCGCACACTTCCCTTCCTCGCTCCTTCCTGCCCCTCCCTCCCAACTTTCCCATCCCTCCCCTGCCACTTCTGAGCTGTCATCGAAGGTGCGAGAGAGAGAGAAAGAGCTCAAGGACGACAGCGACGATGAGATCGTGTTCTCAGACGAGGACGAGGACGAGGAGGTACCTTCACGTTCTCCTCCTCCCTTCTCCCTCTCCCCCGTGCTGAGCTAGCGCTCCACAGGACGAATCCGAGAGGCTCGCGCGGCTGGCAGCGCAGTGACAGTCCTGGCAGTCTCTCAAGCAGCTAAGGCCATGGAGGCCAAGCATGGAGGCGCCTGTAATGGCTCTTGTCCTTAAGTTCAATAGCAATGAAACCAACGATCAGTCAGAACTCAGCAACTCTATCCTCTCCTATCAAATACTGTGACAACCATCCCTGATTGAATTCAAACCCGACGGGACCGCTCTCTCTCCCTCCTCTCCTCTCTCACCTCCTCCTTCCCCTATGAGATCTTCTCGCTCTCCTCACACCATCATCCGACGAGCCGTCGACTGCTGCGAGGCAAACGAGCTGCCGCCGTCCACAGACCTCGTAGACTTGTCCCTCTGCTGGGCCAGCAGCTGGTATGTTGTGCTGCACACGTTGTGAAGGTTTCGCTTCACGCAGTTCTCCACGTAGTCGTAGTTGAAGCCCATCTCCACCATCTGACGAGCTATCGCCTCATCCACCTCCAACTGCTGCAAACAACAGTTAGTCGAGCAGCAGCAGCAGAGGAGGAGGAGGAGGAGGAGGAGGAGGAGGAGGAGGAAGACGCGAAGATAGCAAGACTTACATCTTCGCTCGGAATCTCCGCAGAGTAATCCTCTGATCTCTCGCTGTCGATCACCTTGACTCGCACGTTGGCAGCCTCGTGCCTGGCGAAGGCTGTGCGGCACCAGCTGTGCTGCTTGATCTCCTGGATCTGCGCTCGCTTCATGGAGTCAACAGTAAGCATCCTGCGGATCAAGTCCTTGCAGTCTTGCGACATGAACGACGGGCAGTCAAACTTTCCCTTCACGATACGACGGCAGAGCTCCTGGTTGCTGCTCCCTTGGAAGGGAAAGTACCCGCAGACCATAGCGTACAGCACCACCCCGAGGCTCCAGATGTCAACGCTGGTGGGGTTGTAGGGCTTTCTCGCCACTATCTCTGGTGCAGCGTAAGAGGGAGATCCGCAGGCTTTCTTCAGCTTCTGTCCGGGCTTGAAGGAGACGCTGAAGCCGAAGTCAACGATCTTGATGTTCTTGTTCTCGTCGATGAGGAGGTTGTCCAACTTCACGTCCCTGTGAACTATGCCCGAGTTGTGGCAGTGCTCTAGACCCTGCACGATCTGGACGAACAGCCGGCATGACTCGGCCTCGGATAGCTTTCGATTCTCACGCACATACTTGCACAAGTCTCCTCCACTACTGAACTGCATGATGAGGTAGATCTTGAAAGGAACGTCCACCACCTCGTAGAGCTTGATGATGTTCGGGTGGGACAGTGCCTTGAGGATTCGTATCTCCCTCGCTACTCTGCTTCGTGCTTGGGGTTCCGTGAGCTTGCTCTTCTCGAATGTCTTCACTGCGACTCTCTCATTGGTCAGCAGATGAGTGGCCAGCCTAACTTTGCCGTACGCTCCTTCCCCGAGTGTCTTGCCAATGTTATAGAAATCAATAGACGAGAATGGCTGAGATGTCAACTATCAGGTGACCGCAATCGTCAGGCAGCAAGGCACACACCTGTTTCTGTGAGTCTTTGGATAATGTTGAAATAATTCGACGCAGCTCAATCATGTCAACTTTCTTGGTCTCAGCACTCTCTTTCTCCGACGCCGACGACTGCTTGCTCGAGGATTTCCCGTCGTTGTGGGCATCCGCATCCGAGGTCGCTTTGTTGGAATGCGGCAGCTTGTCCTGGTTGGCCTCCCTCTTCCCTCCCCCTGTGATGCCACAAGTCAACAAGACGTCAGAACAACTTCGAGGCTCCAAGTGCAAGACGCAGTTCAGCACCTGGATGCGATGGACCAGCGATCTCGACATCCCCTTTCTTTGTTTGCCCATCGTTTGCCGTTTGCGTCTTGGACACAGACAGCAGGCTGTCCACGCTGACCTTGTCCAAGTCGCCAACCCCTACGTTCGCCTCGACCTTCGCTGCAATCGACGACGACCCTGTTGAGTGCTTGGCCTGTCCCCCGTACTAGCTCCACGTTAGTCAAGCTCTTAACAGTCAAGCAGCAGCACCTTGACAGGTTGAGAATCTCGTTGAGAGAGAGGCCGCAACGTCCCACTCGAAGGCCTTCCATCCGCAGTAGACAGGCGAGAGTGAGGGGCTTTAGAAGCTCTGTTCCGATTGAAAGCAGTCGGGTAGAGCATGGCGTCAGATGGCGGACCTGGAAGACCAACAGGGTCAGCATGCATGGAACAAGACGCTTCTGCCCCTACCTGATCGCACGGCTTGAGAGCTCTCGTTCTCCTTTTGCTGCGGATTGTATGGAGCTTGTTTGATGGACAACTTTTCAGTTCTGTCCGTGATGGATTCCACGATTTCGTTGTCACCTACGGATGGTCAGGACAGCACACAGACTCGGCATTTACATACCTTCTACAGTCTGCTGAGCTGATGTAGGAGCCAAACGGAAGTTCAGAGGTATTGTAACTTTCTTGGCATGCTGGCGCTTCCACCTTAACGGTGAAGCTTCAGTTTTCTCCCATGTCAGACTTTTCCTCTCAAGCTTACCTTGCGACTCTTGCATCCTCCATGGCATGCAAGCGGGCAAAGTCTGGAACTCGACGGGCAGCAAACTGAAACTGATCGTCAGCACTTTGAGGCTTTAGTCAGAGCTGCCATTTCCAGACCTTAGACCGCGGATCATCGCGATTCAACTTGTCGCCTCTTCCTGATGCAACAGCGACCGACATCTTTGCTTTTTCGCCACCCGGTTCAGGGTTGTGACATCAACAATGGAGAGCTGTATGGGAATGTGGCGCGAGGAGCTAACAGCCCATGGACAAACTGAGGGCAGTCCGTTCAGTTTAACTGACAAAGCGTTTCAGTTGGGTGCGAAAACATGGCGTCCATGAGACTTGTCGTCGGGACTCTCCTCGTCCTCCTCTTCCCTTCGCTCAGCATCTCTCCCACCTCATCGATCGCTGTATCCTCAACATGCGCACCCCCATCGCCTCTCTCAATCCCGATCGCCACAGCAAGGTCGATACTAGGCGCTCTCGGACACCTCATACCTTCTTCCGTTCACCTCTACACGTCTCCTTTCTCCTTGCCTGCATATCTGAAGTTTCGATCCATACAGCTGTCTTCGCCTCACTCCTCCTCCCTCCCTTCCCCTCTCCTCCCTCGTTTTCCTCATCTCTGTGCCGCTATGCAGGGATTTCAAACTCGGAATCCCGTCCCACACCGGTCATACACCTAAGAATTTACATACCGGTTTAATATACCATAAAATTGTTGAAACAGATAGGGTTGGGTATATCACCCTACCTATTCATTCTTTTTGGCCGAACGGTCAACATCCAATAAAAATTGCATGTATCTGTGAGTCCGCCTCAGCGAAAGGCTATGATAATGATGTTGGGTGGCGATGCAGATGGGACCTCAAGCCCCATCATGCTTGTTTCAGGAAACAGCACAATGCAGAATCAACCAAGAACATCTATCTACATGCCATGTACTGCAATGCGAGAAATGCCGACGTGAGAAATGCCGACGTTGTTTTCATGCAATATGTGCGGGAAGTCCAGATAAACCCAATACATGCGAGCAAGAGCCCTCTTGCTCGCAACTTGGATTCCAGATAAACAGGTCAAGGGGAAGATGTCAGATGTCAGATGTCAGATGTCAGATGTCAGATGTCAGATGTCAGATGTCAGATGTCAGATGCCAGATGTCAGATGCCAGATGTCAGATTGATCAGCAGAGGCTTTGAGTAGATTGCCAAGAGTCGAGGAAAGGGACAGGAAGCTAACAAGTGTTGGGATCAGCAAGTGAATTGGTTTTCGCTCTCAGGAGCAATCGTTTGGAAGAAAGAGTAAGATCGTGTGGAGATTGAAAGCAACCTTGATAGTGGATGATGAAGGATCCAAGAGGAAGGAAATAGAGACGGATCGCTGGGAACAAAACTACGAGAAGACGTTGTCCATGATGTAGAAGACACCATCCATGGGGACGGGCCCTTCTTCGTAGATGTTGAGATTGTGGACAAAATTAATGCACGGTCCATTGCTGACATGCCTGCTGATTGCAATGACATAATCATTATCGTATGGGATAATGAGTTAACATATCACACATCCATCCCTGTTCTGGGCGTACTTGTACTTGACGACTCTCCAGGTCACATACACGTCCTCTTCCTCAAGGGCATATAACTTCAAGCAAAGATGGAATGGTATTAAACTGGTATTTGTATTGTATATCAGGCTATTTTTCAATCCATGCGCACGCTTTAGCAAGTTTAGTGAAAACTATACTGTGATAGATCCTGGCCTTGGTACAGACATCATAGTAGCCAAATAAAGGGTAAAGTTTCATCTTCCAAACACACTCAATGCATGTGTGCCCGGTCCCTTTACCTCCTTCTCTTCGATTAGCCTTGCAATCTCCTTGAGTTCTCTTGCATACAGCACTGTCATTATCTTTCCATCCTCCCCTCTATCAGCTCGTTGTACAAAGTCTTGTAAAAGCTCAGGCGTTCCGAGAGGTCGGCAGGCAGCGAGGAAGCCTCGGACCCGCCGCGAAGCCGGACCAAGGGTAGGGGGCGCGACCTGCATAAGGGTGTCACTGGTCTTGATATCCCAGTACGACTTGGCATGGACCACAAGACGACCTCGCTGATGCTACTGGCCAGGGGGAGCAGGCGGCGGCGCAGGCGGCGCTGCAGGCGGCGGCGAAGATGGCGGCGAGGCTAGTGGATCGATCCATGCCCATGAGCTGTTAGTAGAATCGGAGGATCAGCGAAGGATCCTATTCTACTCAAATATTCGTAGGTAGGAAGTCCTTCGCCAAGATTTATAAAGAACTTTCGGGAATGAACAGTACATGGGATGTAGACATGATATAAACGAAGACATGGACTCGAAGACTTCAACAATTCCACGGTTCTCCCGCAACGGGATTCATAGCAGTCTCTTCAAAGTGGTCAGAACGTCAACGAATCTCTTTCAGACCAGCGCATGCCCATTTGCGATTGAGATCCACGGAGTACACCTTCCCTTCTCCCCCTTTCCAGTTCGAACCTCGACGCATTTGCAAGGACACAGCCGAGCCAACAGGGCCTATCAGAAACTGCCCAAGGTCCTTGGTCTTCATGCCAATTACCTGCAAACACAATCAGGAACCAGACTGCGAAACAGGTTTCAAGAGCGTCTCTACAAGAATAAATGCATTATGAAAAATGCTCGATCATGCTGACAAAGAGATGCGGCCCTTACATCCTTGCCGTCGATGCGGACCAGGACGTCGCCCTCCTGGATCTGCTTGCTGGTATCTGCCGGTCCCCCGACGCTCAGGGCCTTGACATAGACATTGTAGTTGTTGTAGGTCGGATTGGAGCAATCTTCGAGGATCAATCCCACACCACACTCTCCAGCGCTGAAACAGACACGCTCAGCTTTGCCAGCTCATGAACGATCATACATGTCATTTGTACGAACCTTGTGTCCGGGAGGTCGGGAGGACGGGAGGACACACAACAAGTGATAGCAGCTCCAGAGACCCCCAGCCAGTCTCGTACTGCAGGAGGGATGACACTGAGGAGGTTTCCAAGAGCTCCGTCCTGCACTTCATCCTGGCGTGGCTCCTCCTCCTTCCCCGCTGTCGTTGGTGTCGGCGCACCCCTACCGCGATGCTTGGAGATCCCAGCGCTCTGCATCACGAGCTCCTCGTATTCTCTGTGCACAGCAAGATGAAACACTTGGCGCCGTTCACCTTACGCAGTTTGGCAGTCTCATATTTCGCTAGTTTCCTGGAGGGTACCGTAGAAGTCAGCAGGCAGTGCCAACGTTCCAACACCCGTCAGTTACAGATCGGCAGTAATGGTTGCAATCAAGATATTCAATCATCTATGGCCCTTGAAGAAAAACCATGCATTTCCCGTGGTGCAGGGAAACAATCAATGAGCATCATGATTTACAATGTTGTCGGTTCGTTTCAAAGAACAATCCAATCAACCTTCCATTCCAAACCAGAAGAACATGCGTTTGGAATGCTTCACAGCAACCCAACATCGATTGCATTCACAAGCATCATTGCACCATCAACTCCTTCTCTCCTTCTCTCCTTCTCCTCACCTTCCCCTCACCTTCCAAGGGCCCTGCCATGCACTGTGTGACCAATCACCTATCTCGCTCACCCCTGCGTTTACTAGCAGATATGTACCCCTGGTATGATAAATTTAAACTCTAACTTGAATTTGATCAGCTTTAATTTGAAATTTAAATTTATAACTCTAAATCGCTTCAACTCTGGAAACTGCGTTTCCGGGAGTCCGGGCCGGCCTCAGTTGTGGTCCGGGCTCAACTTATCGCCGGAGTCGGACCGTACCGGTGACCTGCGTGCTGTCCGAGTCGGAGTGCCGCAGTGCGCCAACGGTGGCCGCTGAGCGGCCGGGCGAAGTTCAAGTTTGGATCGGATCCGATCAGACGGTGCCGCTGTCCGATCCCCAAACTTGGCTTGAAACTTTTTACTGATACCTCAACCTCTCCGAGCCTCGGACTGAGGCTGAGGTGACTGCCCGGCCACCGTCGGACGGGCCGCCGCGACTCCCGTCCCCGGAGCCTCAGAGTCCCGGTCGGGGGCCTCGGAACTTCGGAAGCCGGCCTCGATCCCAACGGTTTGCCGCTCCGATCTCCGTTAGCTTACTGATTTTTTTCTGCATCAACAGTGCGCCGCCGCCCCGCGTCGTTAATATCCTATACCCGGCCTCTGTGGAGTGTTCTATGGAAATCGCCAAGAAACCTGATGGATTAGTTACTCGGAGCCGGGCCGGGCTGATGAGTCCAACGGACGTACGACAGGGGGCAGCTCAACTCAGAAGTGATGAGGCCCCGGGGGTAGGGTCCGACGGACCTGACATGGCCCAGTACGGTAGTACCGGGTACCGGAGTTGTACTCACGGTACTGCAGTCATGATGGTAGAGGGGGTGGTACCATATAGAACGGTTCGACGGTCACCGGGTCCCGGTCGGTTCGGGGGGCCAGGTGGGGTGGTACTACGGCTTGGAAAGAAGCCGCCATGTCGGGGGAACGTTGGGTTAGGGCAACATGGCGGAAGGAAGAATGGCAGCTGGGGGAGGACGGGATCGTGACCCTGCCCGAAGGTCTTGATGAGGTGAGCAAACAGCTGCGAAGCTGATCTTCGTAGATTCGTGATGCACAATCGAAAGCTCCTCTGAATCCAGGAGGAAGAGAGGGAAAGGGCCTGAGAGTCCGTTTGTGCATGCGAGAGCAATGCCCGATGCCCCGATGTTGTTCCATAGCGAATCTGTGCAGTCTTGATGATGCCATGGGTGGATATGGTGTGAGAGTAACTCGATCATCTATGATCTGTCCTTCTAGATCTGGAGGCAGCGTTGTTGGGCTAGCTCAATCCTCCCGACGTTTCTGCCATCAAAGATGTTGCACAAGGTTTGTGTCTGACTGCAGTCACGTGCTCATATCATCTGACTCTCCTCGGGTCTGCATCAGGATGAGCGGACGAATGTCGAGATTTGGGGAGCGCTGGACACGTCGGGGAATGATTGCTCTTGCATTGTCCGGTATGAAAACAGGGACGCCATGTTCAGTCGCTTCGAGCAGCATGTCGACTTCCTTCTCAAGTTCGATTCTGTAAACCCCTCCCTCTATGTCTTGCCATCGCCCTGAAGCCTTGCTCCTCTTGCTAGGCCTTCGTTGTGAGGTTTGCGACTGCGTTTGCTACGGAGAGTGCAGTCTGCATGGTGCTGCAGCCGGTGGAGATTGTGAAGGATCAACGAGCCATGTCCTGATGTCCAGCTCAGGTGCCAGGAGGGAACTTCGAGAGCCTCGTGCAGATGAAGAACTGCGGTCCTCTTCCCGAAGCCTTTTTGTCGGTACGACCTCTTCTCCCAGCTCGGTCGTCGCCGGTGACGCAGGAGATGAAGATCATGATTCGGAACCTCCTCTTTGCGCTGCAGGATCTCAGCAGGAGGATGTCGCTACCTCAGGTCCCAACACTTATGATCGCTGTCTCTTCTCACCTGCTCCTTCCATAGGAAATCTCTCCGCAGACCGTGTGGCTGGGGTCGGACTCGGTGACTGCTGGTCCTGAAATGTTGCTGACTAGCTCACGTCCTGCTTCAGCTGAAGCTGGGAATATGCGACATCTTTGTGAAGCTCTCGAGTCCAGCTGAGCGTGACGAGTACCTGCAAGCTCTGCTGCTCTCCCTTCCCAGCCTGGTGACTGCCGGTGGCTGGAGGAATGGGCTGCAAGGCTGATGAGAGGCAGATGATTTCGCTGAGCGGGACCCCTCCTGAGAGGAGGAACGAGGACGGCAAGGAGGATGTCGGCGATGACGTCTGTCCTTGCTCCTTGCTGACTGCTTCATGTTAGCTATGGGCACCGGGTGGATTCGTTCCTGATAGGAAGTACGCGGATGTAGCAGCAGCTCTGTGGCCCTTACGGTTCGGGCAGGAGAAGGATAATTGGTATTCCTTTCTGACCCTTGCAAGCGCTCCTGGTTGAGATGAGGGCAGGAAAATGAATTACTTCATGAAAGCTTGTACGGACCCTTCGATCACCATGTCTGAGCTGCTGGAGCTGGAGTTCATAACCTTCTATGAGAACCTGCCGTACGAGCTGCTCTACTCGTGGTACAAGATCCAAGGAGAGTACGAGAGATTCAAGTAGTGTTTGACATGCCCCGTCAGTTGAAGACCTGAAGTCGTGACGTGCAGGTTTGCTCGAAATTTCCATCAGTCGGAGGGAGGCAATAAGGCGGCAATATCCAACTGGAATCGCTCTCGGCGGAAGAGTCAAGTGCCCAGCTCTGCGGACGCTCCTCAAAGCCCAGAGGTCTGAACGATTCTGCATTCAATGACGACGATGAAGGAGATGATGATGATGGTGATAGTGATGGTGGTGGTGATGATGATGATGAGGTGGTGATGGTGGTGGTGATGATGATAATGGTGATGTTGATGGCGATGATGACGACGACAAGGACGATGGAGATGGAGATGACGACGATGACGACGATGACGATGACGATGACGATGACGATGGAGATGGAGATGACGATGACGATGGAGATGATGACGACGATGGAGATGGAGATGGAGATGGATATAATGATGATGATGATGAAGAAGAAGAAGAAGAAGAAGAAGAAGGACGAGGATTGACAAGAGGTGCGTCGGCAGAGAATAGAAGAGAAGCGATATACCTTCCAGAACGCTCAGAGGTACAAGATGAACAGACAGTGGCTGGTGAGGGAGATGGAGCTGCTAAATCTCATCTCAACGCCCAACCCCGAGAAAGAGAGCGACCTGGTACGTTGCCATCATGTAGACATGCAGCTGGAGGCAGTGACCTTGTGCTCTAGATCAAGAGGATCTTCAGGTCGCATGAGAACAGCAGCGGGATGCTGTCAGGAAGGGGTCTGCGGACAGTGTTCCTGGAGCTCAAACTCGACCACCTTGTGGATTCGATCTCATGGAGGGTCAGAGCGGCGGCATTCTTCTTCCCGTGACTTGTCGCAGGACGTTCGTTACATCAGCATGGACGACTTCCTCCAGCTGTGGGAGAATCTCAAGCTCATGGACATTATCCGTGACCTGCAGATGTACTCGTGTCCCCTTCCCGCCTGCCTCCCCCTCCTTGTCTGCCACTTCCTCCCTCCCTCCCTCCCTCCCTCCCCCTCCCTCCCTCCCTCCCTCCCTCCCCTCATCCTTCTGGTGATTTCCTGTGCAGTCAACGGCAGTCGTCACGAGGCCACGAGCACAGCCTACAGCCCTTCCTCTTCTCCTCCCCCAACGGCAGAGGAGACGCAGACGCCAAGACCTCAGGTGACCCTCCACCACGAGCCCAGCAGCAGCTGACGGGGAGGTGGTAGAGACGATCAAGAAGATCCTCAAGATCTGCATTGAGCACTGGAAGAAGACGCTGGCAGCGCTGAGAGCGCGGCAAACCCTGAGGGAATTCCTGAGGGTTTCCATATGGGGAAAAGTCGGCAAGGTGGGAGAAGAGCGATGTGCTGTTGGCTGACGGCTGGCAGGCCTTCATCGAGAGGAACTTCGAGGACTGGCACGTGCACGTCATGACGAGGAGGCTGGGGGAGAAGAGAGACGAGCTTCGAGCCATATTTGCTCGCAACCATGTCAAGCAAGTCTTCAGGGCATGGGTTGACTTCTGCTTCATCCAGCTCTCCCCCACCTACGCAGCTGAGAACGGAGATCGTGAGAGGACGCCGCACCATCGCATCCGCCGTCATCCGACCCCTTCAACCGGCGAGCCGGCACTAGAGAAGTCCAGCTCAACAGCCTCCAAATCCCCCGAGAAGAGCAGCGTCCTTCCTAAGATCGCCTCCAAGACCTTTCCTGTGCCGTTTCTTCCTCCTGCCGCCCCTCCTGACCTGCTGCCAGTTGTCAATTCCGGACCTGCTGGGCCAGGGAGATCGCCCGCACGACAAGCTGAGAATCGCCGTGGTGGAGAAGAGCAGCTCGAGCAGCCTGAAGGGCAAGACTGTCTCCCCCATCACGGTCCTTCCTCTCCCCGCCTGTTGCCCTCCTGACGCTGCCGTTGCATGACAGCGCAAGCACACGGCGCCGTGCTTGGCGAGGACGAGGCGATGGCTACCCTCCACCCCGAGAGTGAAGTTTGTGGACGAGGATCAGTCCTTCATTGAAGATCACAGCAACGAAGGTGGTGGTGGTGGTGGTGGTGGTGGTGGTGGAGGAGGAGGAGGAGGAGGAGGAGGAGGAGGGGGAGGGGGAGGGGGAGGGGGAGGAGGAGGAGGAGGAGGAGGAGGAGGAGGAGGAAGACGGGCTGACGAAGATGCTGGCCGTTAGGTTACCTCGTATCTGCGAGGGGCATTCAGAAGTTGCCATCAGAGCTGCGGAGCAATTGGATCGCTAGACCGGAGGCGTCAGTGAGGTCGTTCAAGGCCCTCAAGCAGATGTTGAAGCGAGAGAGTGTGGAGGTCTGGGAGGTGCAGGACAACAACAACTCGGAGCTCTACAACCTCGTCGCCTACCCGAGGAAGAAGGAGACGACCGACCTGTAAGTCTTGCCACGCTCCTGCGCCGTCCCTGACAGGCTCCCGCGCCCCTCAGCTACGAGCGACACCTCAGCTCTCTGCTGACCATGAGGCATGTCGAGTCGTCAGGCCTCGTCAAGCTGGTCGACTCGTTCGCCACGAGCTCGAGGATGTGTCTGGTGGTGGAGCATACCCCGTGAGGACTTGCTCTTCCCTTGTCCCCTCCTCACTTGCCCGCAGCCTCGGCCATCTCGGCTCGATCGTGTCGAGCGACGCGTGCGGTCCCCTCCCCGAGCCCATCCTCTCCCTCGTCGTCCGCCAGCTCCTTCGCCTCCTTCAGCGCCTGCACGCGGCCGACTTGACGCTCGGGGAGCAGCTGAGCCTTGAGAGCGTGTGGGTGTGCGGAGACGGGCGGCTAAAGCTGGGGGTCACGTCGCCCATGGTCAAGTTTAGCAGGGCGGATGCGGCGGCAGCGAGGAGGAAAGACCTGTCGCTATTGGCCGAGCTGTGCGGAGAGGCTTCAAGGTACGAGATCTCCTCCTCCTTCCAGGCGCGCGAGGAGCTGGAGGCAGAAATCCGAGCAACCAAGAAGAAGCTCGGATCCCTCAAGTCCGATCGCGCCATGATCGACAGCCGCCGGCTCGCGCACTCGAACAACCAGCCGGACAGGAAGCAAGTGCTCAACGAGGAGTCGAGGAGAGCAGTGAGCCGATCTTGCCTTCCGCAGCCCTCCCGCTCCCCTCCCGCTCCACTCCCGCTCCCCCCTGCCCCTGCCGCTCTCGCTCCAGCACTCTCCCTACCCGCTTCTTCTTCCTCCCGCCTCGACGTTTTCGCTCCCGCTCTCCCCCAGCTCTCCTGCTGCTGTGACGCGACTTGTGGCAGGAGATCGTGGAGAGCATCGGCACGCAGCAGGCGAGGCTCGACGAGCTCAACGGGATGTTGCACAAGCTCGACGAGATAGTCCAGCTGTTCCCCATCTCCTTCAGCTCCAAGGGACGTTGCAACGACTTCGTGTCGAGGAGCAGGTCAGACGTGTCGGTAACTTCTCAGCTCTCCCATCCCTTCATCAGCAACTACATGGACCTTGGCTATAACGCGCTGCTCCGCTGGATGCAAGTTGGGGGGACGAAGGGAGAGGGGAACAAGCTCGCCAAGACGCTGTACGAGATGGACCCGGCGGTTGAGGAGGAGATGGAGGGAACGCAGAGGTCGGAGAACAGAGAGCAGGAGGCGGGGAAGCGCTTCTCACGGCATGGAAGCATGCGGTTCTATCACCCCGAGCTGAGGAGGATCTTCGACAAGTTCGCCAAGTTGGAGGGGAAGCAGAGCAAGAGGCCGTTCCTGGACCTGCAGGCGCTGACCTGCCTGATCCGCGACATGTTCCCTGGGGAATTCACGCAGGAGGAGGTGGAGGAAGGCTTCAAGGAGATTGACAGGCAGCAGGAGGGGAGGATACACTTTGGGGAGTTTGCGGAGTGGTGGACGGAGATGAACGTGAGTGACAAGCTGGGGCTGGTGCAGGCGAGGAGGAGGGCGAAGCTCGACCTCGACCTGGAAGACGACCAGGAGAAGGTGGAGAGGGGATTGAGGATGCACCTCAACAGCTGCTTCAGGAGGTGTGTGCCTTCCTGACCTCTGCTCCTTCCTTCATCCTCCTCCTCCTCCTCCTCCTCCTCCTCCTCCTCCTCCTCCTCCCTGCTTCTGCTTCCTCCTCCTTCCTGCTTCTTCTGCTCCCTCCTCCTCCACCATCCACCACCTCCTCGCGTCTGCTGACGAGCTGCTACCCGAGCAGATACAAGCGCGTCTTACACGTCATGATCTACTTCAAGAAGCTCCAGCAGAATCTCAGCAGGAAGCATGTCCGGTTTGTGCTGAGGAAGAACTGGAAGACCTGGCGATCTCATTGTGTCAACATAGCGACCTCGCCAACAAGAAGCGGTAGATCCCCTGCTGCTGCTGCTGCTGCTGCTGCTGCTGCTGCTGCTGCTGCTGCTGCTGCTGCTCCTCCTCCTGCATTTGTTGCCGCTCCTGCTCCCCCTCCTGCTCCTGCATTTTGTTGCCGCTCCTGCTCCTGCTCCTTTTCCTTCCACCTTCCTCCGTACTCTCTCTCTCTTTCCTGATCCGACCTGACCTCCCCTCCTCTCGTCCTTGTGACAACTCTGCAGTGTTCGGCAAGTGGGACATCTTTCGATTCGAGGCGGATGCAAGAAAGTCCAACCACAGCTGATTTCTCCTCCTCACCCCTCCTGCCATCCCCCGTTGATAGCTCCCCCTTCCGCCCTCCTACTTTCTCCCCTCCCTCTGTCCCTGTCCTCTTCCCTTCATTCCTCTCCCTCTCTCGTCTTCCTCCGTTTCCTCTCTCTTCCTCTTCCTTCCCCTCCTCCTCTCCTGCCTATTCCTTCTAAATCTTGCCCGCTCCCCCTCCCCCTCTTCTTCACCCTCATTTTGCTGTAGACAAGTATTCTTTTACACACCCGAGACGAATTTACTGGCTCCTCCTCTTGGCCTTCATCCATACCGGCATGTACTTCTTGTCTCGCAGCTTCTGCATCGCTCCTGGCTGCCTCTCCCTCCTACCCCTCTCTGTCCCATTGATCGCTCGCTTCAACTGGTTTCACGTCATTGGCGTCAGCAGGAGGAAACAGTTTCCTCCTCACACAACCTGCCATGCTGTGACCTCGTCGTCAACTATCCCGTCCTCCGTCATCTCCCGGTGCAGGCGCTTCACCGTGCTCTGCTCGTGCGACAGCGCGCTCATGATGGCGCTGTGGGCAGGCAACGAGTCAGCAGCAGCAGCAGCAGCAGCAGCAGGAGCTGGGGAGGGGGAGGGGGGGGGGGGGGGGGGGGGTGGGAGAGTGGTAGGAGAGAGGA